AAGGCCACAGTGTTTCAGAGTATTGATCTTATAATTGATGATGACAAAAATATCTTAAGTTATTCGAGTCATGCATGTTTGATTTTACAGTGAATTACGCAGAAATCTAGGCAGCCAAAAAAAAAATGAAAAAAAAAAAATCCAATGTTTCAGTATATAATGGTAAGATATGGTAAGATATGCGCAAACTGACCTCTAATCGAACTTGAGGCTCAACTTCAATGATCCAAATTGTCTATTTGTTAGAATCTCAGAAAAAATCATCTTAACCAAAAAAGAATCAATCAAATTGGAAATTATCTAATTATTTAGTTATGGTCAAATAAAGAAACCAACACAATTATGAAAAGTTGAAAAAAAAAAATTTGGATGATAATCAAGAGCAGAGTCTGTGATGAGGGAGAGGAGGATATTGTTGTAAGCTTTTGATAGAGAAGTTTCTATTCTCTTTGTTTTTTATTTATTTAGGGGGTAACCATGCTTAGATGGGTTAGAGATCATCATAGTGGTTGCCCCTTTTTTTTGTCAAGGAAAGAAATCAAGAGATTTGATAGTAACTCCAAGTGTTCCAAAGCAAGGAAGAATCAAGCATGTCAGAATATCTCAATCAATGCAATCCTACGGATTTAGGGGGGCCTTGGAAGGAAAGACTTTTAAGAAGAGTTAATATTTGGTCATTCAATGGCCAGCCAATGGGCTGACGAGTGCCCTATATAAACCTTGCTCAATGAAGGCATCAGACACACAACATCAGACCAACAAACTTATCTTTCGTCTCGCACTTTTCTTTTCATAGACTTAGGATTTTACTTTTCAAGCACCTAGTGTAGCGAGTTCTTCCTTTTCTTAGTATAAGTTTAAATTCTCGTTCAATTTATATTTTCTTGTACTTTAAATTCAAGTTTATTTCAATTGCTTTGCTTTTCATTGTTATCGCATTTCAATTAATTAATTTATGCAATTTACATTACACACTTGTCTTTACATTCTTTATTTTACGCACTCATCTTTAAATTATTTATTTTACGCACTTTACTTTCCGCACTTGTCTTTCAATTATATTTAAATTCAAGCACCTTTTACTTTACGCACGTGTTCTTCGTATCATTATTTTTCACTTTCAATCTTCATCTCCACCCACTCCACATTATTTGGTTACTCACATTAAGCCTTGACCCCGAGGTAGTGAAAGAACCTAGGCCGTGAGGAGGTTCCTTGCTTGGCCAAACAATCGTTTGATTAAAGTCAGATCTCGGATGCAACATATCCATCTACTCACATTCCATTCAAACCCAAATTCAGGGCTTGGTGGTGACACGCCTTGCACTCAAAAGAAGAAGGACCAAAAACTCCTTCAATCGGCCTACCCGGCCGAAAAGAGGGAAACATAATTGATCTATAAAACCTTAAAATTTACCCAAACCAAGCACGTAAACATGTAGAGCACAAAGAGTAGATGAAGTTTCATACCTGGTTCGACAATTTTAGTTGCCGGAATCGCCGAAAATAGAACGACCAGTTCCGGTGATGAATGAGGGTTTTGGGCTGGGTTTCAGTCAAAAATCGCAACCAATCTGGGAGTTTGGAAGGTGAAAATGGGTATGGACGTGTAGCGGTGGAAGAGACGAAGATTTTTCAAGTCATTTCTTCCGAAACGGTGGCCAGACGAAGCTCGAATTGACACCGGAAAATCTGCACGGCGCGACGGAAAGAGAGAGGGTCGTCGTGGGAGAGAGAGAGAGAGAGCTGACTAGTTATTTAAAAATCGGAATTTGAAATATTTACGGTTGTGCCACTACACTTCCGTTCACCGTAACTTCTTCGTTGAAACTCCGATTTTGGCCCAATACGTGTCTACGAACTCATATCAACGAGCTCTACGCAACAGTGCCAATCAAATCCCAAAAATCCTTACTGATCAAAAAGTGACGATCGTGACCTCACTTCGAGGGTAAAATTGTAATTTCACAATGTAAGTAAATCGAGTTAAATTGAATAAAATGATTAAATTGGGTCGGGGTGTCACACATGATGTACGGCTCGTGACATGAGCGCATATGCGCAAACTGATCTTTAATCAAACTCGAGGCTCAACTTCAATTACCCAAATTGTCTATTTGTTAGAATCTCATAAAACATCATCCTAACCAAAAAATAATCAATCAAATTGGAAATTATCTAAGAAACACAATAAATAAATAAAAGGGATGATAATCAAGAACCGAGTCTGTGACGATAGAGATAAGGATATTGTTGTAAGCTTTAGATAAAGAAGTTTCTATTTTCTTTGTTTTTTTCTTTAGGGGGAACCATGCTTAGATGGGTTAGAGATCATCATAGAGGTTGCCTTTTGTTTTGTTTTTGTTTTTTTTGTCAATATGGTAATATCATCATTAAACCAGGGCGAGGAACGAATACTAGTTACAAAAGCACAAGCCTAAAAGACAAAGGAGCAATAAAAAAAAAAACCAAAAGCCTGTGACGATGCGAAAGCAAGCAAAAGGCCACAGTGTTTCAAAGTATTGATCTTATAATTGATGAAGACAAAAATATCTTAAGTTATTCGAGTCATGCGTGTTTGATTTTACAGTGAATTACGCAGAAATCTAGGCAGCCAAAAAAAAATGAAAAAAAAAATTCCAATGTTTCAGTACATAATGGTAAGATGTGAAATTGAGATCGAAGAAAAGAGAAGAAGAGACCACAATACGAGAGGAAGAATTTGTAGACAATAAAGAATTTGTGCTTTAAACAAAGAGAAACAAAGAAGTCAAACACCTGGATTACTGCAGAGGCTCACAATGTTCTATTGGCGCTTTAACATTTAAAATTTTAACATTAACAAAATGAAAAAAAGTCATTTTTGGGCCTTGTCATTTTTAACATTAACAATTCAAGGACAAGGCCTAATTTTTTTGTTGTTGTCAAATTACTCTAATATAGAGGGGCATTTCTGTCCAATCTTGCATCCACTTCACAACCATTCCCTAGCCTTAGAGAGAGAGAGAGAGAGAGAGAGAGAGAGAGAGAGAGAGAGAGAGAGAGAGAGAGAGAGAGGGAAAAGGTAGGGGGGAGGGGGGTGTGGGTGGAGGGAGGGAAATAGGTGGTTTTGGAGGGAGGGGATAAGGTGGTTGGTTGTTGCGATAGGGTATGGAGTGGGTTGAGTTAAGAGAAAGAGGTTGGGTGGGAGGAGGGATGGGAGAAGGTTGTTGGGGAGGGGAGCGAGGTGGCTGTGGGGTGGTTGTGGACCTGTAAGTTGGACCGAAATGCCCCATGTTAGAGTAATTTGACAAAAAATTGAGGATTTTTCTTGCATTGCTCGGAATTAAAACTACATGGACCTTAGTGTTAAAAGTGATAAGCTACAGGGGCCAAATCTGCATGTAGATGCATGTCAAAATTAATAATAGCACTGATTCCGTATAAAAATTCTAGGAGATTACAAAAAATATTTAAAAATGATTTCGAAAGGTAAGTTTCAATTTTAGAGGAAAGAAGAACGTGAAGAACTGATAATAATTTTCAGATGTGCTTGTACAAGTCTGTAGCTAGCGTAGGTGGAAAACTCATCCTTTGCATATTTAGAGTCCAATAAGAGAGGTATGCAGAGATAATTGATGCCATTTTTCTTTCACTGGTTTTAATGCCATTTTTCTTCCCATCAAAGTTAACACCCTTGTCTTCAAGCTGTTTTCCTTTTGGTACTCCTTTGACGTTTTCAAAAGATAATTGATGTACCTTAAATTAGGACATGAAGGGAAATCTCATATAATATTTTAAAGGATAAGAGAAAAGACCCTTATTGCATTGCCATAACTTGAGATGTTTTTTTTTGGTAATCTTGATAAGTATAAGTTGACTCTGGTTGGCACGGTGAAATAAATCTCTTTGCAAAACACATGTGCATGCCATTAGAAAGGTGTTGAGGGCGCAACTCTGTAGAATGTCATGGTACAAATGGAAAGTTTCATACTTGGATGAATAGTCAAACACAAATAGTGTGGTCAAATTCTGATTTAGTCAAACAAGAATAGTGTGGTCAAATTTTGAAAAGAATTTGACGGACCATTATTATGGGAAGAAAAATACAATTAAAACCAAAGGAAAGAAGGGTAACAAAAAGTCATTTTTGCATGTTTATCTTTAGGGTAAACAGAAAGAAAATTGCTATGAGAATTGTAGGTGGAACAGTGGAAGGCAATGGCATTACTTTGACCATAAATATGTAAGAGTTTGACAATGAAGTTATTTTTCTTTCAGCGGTTAAAATATCTTCACGGTTTTTTTTTAGCACGGGCGATGGTCTAAATTACAAGGGAGGGAGATTTCTCATACACACACAACTATGATGCTGTAGAATTTGAACCTGAGACCTCTGGTTTGCAAGTCAATGCATTTTTCCACTAAGTTAGACCCCATTGGCATCTCTATTTTTCTTTTAAATAATATAAGGGAAGAACTTTTGCTCCCCACCATTCTTCAAATAAATTACTGAGTGGGCCCTACAAATTATCTATCATCTACCCATAAAATGGATTTTCTTTATTTATATATATTTTTAGGGTTTTTGATCGAAATGTTCCCCCAACCATTGCTCAAGTTCCAACTAACCTCAAGATCGTTTGTGAAAACCCCACCAATTGGACGTGTTTTTTTTATGTTTAAAAGAAATAATAAAAGTTAAAATTCAATTATATGCTTCCTAGTTCATCAAACACAATAGAGAATCACATATTATGCCCAAGAATTTAAACAATCTACAAATTTACATTGTGAAGAAAACAATTCTGTGTCAAATTTCTTTTCACAGTTTGACCCAAATGGCTATTAGGAGACTCAATCAGACTTAGCGGCTACTCACACATATGCACCAAATATTATATTGCGTGTTTGAATATAGCAGTTGAGTTTTGGGAGGAGACAAACTCATTCAAATATGAAACTTGCCATTTCCCTTTGTACCATGACATTCTACGTAGTTGCCCCCTCAAACCCATTCAATGCCCATGTGTGTTTATTCTCATGCGCAGCACGTACTTCCTCCTCTATATAAAGGCCATGCAGCATGCCAGCCAGAGCCAACTTATACTTCTCAAGATTATTACCAACAACAACAACAAAAACCTCAAGTTATGGCAATGCAATTACGTTCTTTTCTCTTAGGCATACTGCTACTAATTGGCTTTGCTTTCACAAATAGCGAAGCTGATATTAGAGCTCCACCCACACATTTTGACACTGCTTCTCTCAATAGGAGCAGTTTTCCAGAAGGGTTCATATTTGGTGTAGGTTCTGCATCTTACCAAGTAAGTCCTTTTCTGGGCTTTAATTTGAGTTTTGATTAGGGTTTTCTTTCAAATTCAGACCAAGCATCGATCCATGCAAGAATATTGACATCTTCTTCATTGTGTCTCTTTTGTATTTCAGTATGAAGGTGCTGCAAAAGAAGGTGGTAGAGGACCAAGCATTTGGGATACCTTCACCCACAAATATCCAGGTTTGTCCAATCAAATCATCAGTTAGTTAAAATAACAAAATCGTGATACTTTTACTCTTATGCTCTAAATAAATAAATTTTCTATGATTAATTGCAGAAAAGATTAGCGATAGAAGCAATGGAGATATCACTATTGATCAATATCACCGCTATAAGGTTAATGACCCAATGTGCACACATTAAATTTTGAAGCATGAAGAAAACTCATCGCATTGAAGATAAGCTCCCGATAATTTTTATCTGATTTCTTTTTGTTATGCACTGTAGGAAGATGTGGGGATTGTGAAGAATATGGGGTGGGATGCTTATCGATTCTCTATCTCATGGTCAAGATTGTTACCAAGTAAGTTCATTTGTGACCAATCGTCAATGTTTCTGCCTACATGGTTTTCGCTTAAGTAATGTGTCCAAGTTGTCTTCCTAATAATATAAAAAATATATTTTTTTTTGGTTACAATTAAAATACTTAATTGAAATAACTTAAGCAAAAATTAAATTTTTTTTTTTCCAAACATAAATTAAATAGAAGTCGAAGTTCAAGTTCGATAACATATAGCCCCACTTTTTTAAAGTTCAGTTTAAATGTTGTCAGTGCACTTATTTCTTTATTTCTGGTTTTGTTTTAATTATTAGATGGAAAGTTAAGTGGAGGAGTGAACAAGGAAGGAATTAAATATTACAACAATCTCATCAATGAGCTCTTACGCAATGGTGAGTCATTCAACCTTACATGATCAATAATTTATGCAATAGGAGTTGCACTCGTAAAAAAAAGTCATTTTGTCAAACATATAACTCGCTTTTATTGATGATGCTATTTATAGGTTTAACGCCATTTGTGACACTCTTCCATTTTGATCTTCCTCAAACTTTAGAAGATGAATATGGTGGTTTCCTAAGCCCTCATATTGTGTAAGTGAAGAAATTAGTCCTTTGAATCGTATTGATAATTTAATTAATAAATACAATTATGACATTTACATTCTGAAATGTGTATATACAGCAATCATTTTCAAGATTACGCAGAACTTTGTTATAAGGAATTTGGCGACCAAGTAAAGCATTGGATCACACTGAATGAGCCGTATACCTTCAGTAACTATGGTTATGCAACCGGGTCCCAAGCGCCGGGACGATGCTCCACTTGGCAGCAGCTAAACTGCACTGGCGGAGATTCATCTACAGAACCATATTTGGTAACACACCACCAGCTCCTTGCTCATGCAGCTGCCGTAAAATTGTACAAAAATAGATACCAGGTACAATTAATTAGTTTGTTGCAACAAGAGAGCGACTACTTTACCTTTTTGTGACTCTAAAACAAACAAACTAAATGTTCTTGTGCAGGCGTCTCAAAATGGAGTGATAGGGATAACACTGGTGTCAGATTGGTTTGAGCCCTTATCAGAAGAAAAAGAAAATAAAAATGCTGCATTACGAGCTTTGGATTTTATGTTCGGATGGCAAGTGTATTTCAAATTTGCTTATGAATATAATGTTTGCTACTTACAGCGAGCAATACATAATATAATGTCAAGTTAATCCTTGAATTTTTTACATTCTTATAGGTTTGCTGAGCCATTGACAAGTGGTGACTATCCGCAAAGCATGCGATCTCTTGTCGGAAGCCGATTACCAAAATTCACAAAAGAACAATCCAAGTTGCTAATTGGTTCATTTGATTTTCTTGGACTAAATTACTATACGGGTTACTATGCAAGTGATGCACCTCGAAATAACTCGGTATACGCAAGCTACACAACAGATGCCGGCGTTAACCTTTCATGTGAGCACAAGTTCAGAATTTATTTCAAGCAATTTAAGTTTATAGACTAATTAGATTCTGATATTGATATGTGTTGTGGCAGCTGAGCGTAATGGGGTCCCCATCGGTCCAAAGGTACACATCAAATTACTAGATTAAGCCTTTGTGATTTCGACCATTAATCGTTTTGCACTTACAAATTTGATTCCTAAAAATCTAAAGATCTTCAAATTTTGGTGCAGGGTGCTTCGGAATGGTTAAATGTTTATCCACAAGGAATTCAACATCTTTTACTCTACACAAAGAAAAAGTATCACAATCCAATTATTTACATTACCGAAAATGGTAATTTTTTCTACCCTTAAGTAATTCCATGTGTTTCACATATTTTTGGTGTAAAACACGCACAAGTGGTACAAAGTCTAAATTTGTAACTACATAATAATGTATTATATATTGTAGGTGTGGATGAGTTGAATGATCCGAAATTATCACTTGCCGAAGCCCTTAATGATACCCATAGAATTGACTACTACAATCGCCACCTTCATTATGTTCAAAGTTCTATTGAGTAAGTGTATTTAAATTCATTTATAACATGTGAATATAAATGTATATGGTATAGCTTTTGATTTTGAGTTATTGATTCATACTGTTGACATTAATATATTTAATTTCCTTTCATTGCTTTTTAGCAATGGTGTCAAAGTGAAGGGATTCTTTCCGTGGACGTTGCTAGACGACTTTGAATGGAGTTCGGGATTCAGTGTTCGATTTGGTATCACCTATGTAGATTACAACAATGGGCTTAAAAGGCACCCAAAAGTCTCGGCGCACTGGTTCAAAAGTTTCCTTAAGAAGTATTGAAAACTTCAGATCATATTCGTCATTCAATATTTGTATTTAATTCAATAATGTGAATTTTATGTATGTAAAATAATACTAGGGATTCCAAATTTGTGTACATTCAATAATTTCAATTTTAGTCCTTGTATAGGATTTAAATTGCATTCAACCCCCTTGTAACATTAAGCATTTATTTTTAGTCCTTTGATGAGTGTCAACATACACATAATTATATGAAACTCATTTGTTTGTAGTCCTTTGACTGACTGTCTCGAATTTGAGTTATTTAGATGGACCCCTCTTGAGGTTTTTCGTGTTTATGTAAAACCCTCTAAGGTCTTGGAAATTACACAAAAACCTCGATAGGTTTCCAAATGGTTTCACATAACTCCAAAAATAAAATAAAATAACCTAAAATTGGATGTAAAAGGACTCTTGCATAGACTAAAATACCTTTCATGATAGTAGAACTGTTTGGATACAGTCGCACCATAACCCCTAAACCCTAATAAAAATAAAATAATAATGAATAAATCATAAGACACATCATAATATTCCATGGGAAAAAATGAAGGCCCTTCCTCTCTTCCATCTATGCTCCATCATCGAAATCCTTTGTTGCTTTGAAAAGAGAATTCTCAGATCCTGCTATCTCATTGCGCCTCGATCTTTCTACTTTGTAGCGTTAAGATTTAAGTTGGGAGGAGTTAATCCAACAAGCTAAGAAATAGGAAGTCAAGGCTCTGCTCCAAGTCAAGACGTGAGCAAAACCCATATAGCAAACGAAGAAGCTGGTACTCGGCCATTGTGAAGAAGTTGCTCTAGTTTGATTTTTTGGTTTGAGTTAGGATTGACCCTTTTTTTTATTTTTTTATTTTTTATTTTTTTGTTGTGGTTGGAAACATATTGGAGAAGGCATGGAAGAGATGGAGAGGATGAAGGAAAGCGTACGTCTTTTTTTCCTTGGGACAAGCGTACAATGCGTGTGTGATGGTTGGTTTTTTTCTTTTTACTATTTTATTTATAGTACAATATTGGGGATTAGGGTACAATTCTATCCAAACAGTATTCTAATACCATGAAGGGTATTTTAGTCTATGCAGAAGTGTTGTTATATCCGGTTTTTGGTTCTTTTGGAAATTTGGAGTTATGTGAAACTAATTTGAAATATAAGAGGGTGTTCGTATAAATTTTAGGACCTCAAGGAGTTATGTGAAAACACGAAAAACCTCAAGAAGGTGTTAGGATAAATAAATCCCCGAATTTTCACCTATCCTTTAAATTCTATTGTACTTTGACCATATGACGGTGACAAAAATTTTGAAGTTTAGAAGCCCACTATGTAGAGGCTACAGTACGGCTCATGATCATGAAATGAGCGCATCTGCGCAAACTGACCTCTAATCGAACTTGAGGCTCAACTTCAATGATCCAAATTGTCTATTTGTTAGAATCTCAGAAAAAATCATCTTAACCAAAAAATAATCAATGAAATTGTAAATTATCTAATTATTTAGTTATGGTCAAATAAAGAAACCAACACAATAAAAAATTGAAAAAAAAAAAAAAAAAAAAAAAAAAAAAAAAAAAATGATAATGGATGAGCAGAGTCTGTGACGAGGGAGAGGAGGATATTGTTGTAAGCTTTTGATAGAGAAGTTTCTATTCTCCTTGTTTTTTTATTTATTTAGGGGGTAACCATGCTTAGATGGGTTAGAGATCATCATAGTGGTTGCCCCTTTTTTTTGTCAATCTGTTTATATGATCATTAAAGCAGGGCGAGGAACGAATACCATTTACAAAAGCACAAGTCTAAAAGACAAAGGAGCAATAAAAAACCAGAAGCCTGTGACGATGCGAAAGCAACCAAAAACTAACTGGAATTGGCCGAATCGAAGCCGAAACCGTCGGCCAAAAATGGGTTTAAGAATTGATCTGTAAAACCTTAAAATTTACCCAAACCAAGCACATAAACAGGTACAGCACGAAGAGTAGATGAAGTTTCATACCTGGTTCGACAATTTTAGTTGCCGGAATCGCCGAAAATAGAACGAACAGTTCCGGCGACGAACGGGGGTTTTGGGCTGGGTTTCAGTCAAAAATCGCGACCAATCTGGGAGTTTCGAAGGTGAAAATGGGTATGGACGTGTAGCGGTGGAAGAGACGAAGATTTTACAAGTCGTTTCGTCGGAAACAGTGGCCAGACGAAGCTGGAATTGACACCGGAAAATCTGCATGGCGCGACGGAAAGAGAGAGGTTCGTCGTGGGAGAAAGAGAGAGAGAGAGAGCTGACTGGTTATTTAAAAATCGGAAATTGAAATATTTACGGTTGTGCCACTACACTTCCGTTTACCGTAACTTCTTCGTTGAAACTCCGATTTTGGCCCAATACGTGTCTGCGAACTCATATCGACTCGCTCTATGCAACGGTTGACATTAATATATTTGATTTTGAGTTATTGATTCATACTGTTGACATTAATATATTTAATTTCCTTTCATTGCTTTTTAGCAATGGTGTCAAAGTGAAGGGATTCTTTCCGTGGACGTTGCTAGACGACTTTGAATGGAGTTCGGGATTCAGTGTTCGATTTGGTATCACCTATGTAGATTACAACGATGGGCTTAAAAGGCATCCAAAACTCTCGGCGCACTGGTTCAAAAGTTTCCTTAGGAAGTATTGAAAACTTCAGGTCATATTCGTCATTCAATATTTGTATTTAATTCAATAATGTGAATTTTATGTATGTAAAATAATACTAGGGATTCCAAATTTGTGTACATTCAATAATTTCAATTTTAGTCCTTGTATAGGATTTAAATTGCATTCAACCCCCTTGTAACATTATGCATTTATTTTTAGTCATTTGATGAGTGTCAACATACACATAATTATATGAAACTCATTTGTTTGTAGTCCTTTGACTGACTGTCTCGAATTTGAGTTATTTATACGGCCCCCTCTTGAGGTTTTTCGTGTTTACGTAAAACCCTCTAATGTCTTGGAAATTACACAAACACCTCGACAGGTTTCAAAATGGTTTCACGTAACTCCAAAAATAAAATAAAAAAACCTAAAATTGGATGTAAATGGACTCTTGCATAGACTAAAATACCCTTCATGATATTAGAACTGTTTGGATACAGTCGCACCAAAACCCCTAAACCCTAACAAAAATAAAATAATAATGAATAAATCATAAGACACATCGTACTATTCCATGGGAAAAAATGAAGGCCCTTCCTCTCTTCCATCTATGCTAGACCTGGCAAACGGGTCCTATTAACGGGTTTCGGGTCGTGTTTGTGTCAACCCATTAAGTTAACGGGTTAACACGACACGACCCGTTAAGTTAACGGGTGACAAATACTAGACCCAAACACGACCCGTTACAATTCGCGAATATCCGACACGACCCGTTTACCCGTAAATAAAAAAAAAAAAAAAAAAAAAAAAAAAAAAAAAAAACAACAGCTTCTCTACCCGACACACCTTCTCTATCTTTTTTCCCCCAAACCCCAACCCTAATTTTTCTTCCCTCTTTCCCTCTTTATTTCAGTCTTCTCACCCCAAAATAGTATATCTCTCACACACATATATATTAAAAACTCAACAACTACATAAACTGAGGAAGAAAGAAAATTCAAAATTGACTGAGAGAACCAAAACCAACAACCTCCTTCTTGATCCGTGATGAATGGGCTGCCGGAGTCTATTGAGTGGAGAGAAGAAGAGCATAAGAGAATTTTGACCAAAAAAGAGCAAGGAAGCAGAGAAGCAAAGAAGGAGAGAAGAAGAAAAGAACGGGAGGAAGAAGAAAAGGAAAAGGGGAAAGAGGAAAAAGACAAAAAAGAAAGAAGAAACAGACACGGAAAGAAGGAAACTAAAGAGGAAAAGGGGAAGAAGAAAAGAAAAGAAAAAATATTTTGCAAAACTACCAAATTACCCTCCTTAACGGGTGGATGTGAATATTCGCGAATTGACCCAACCCAACCCGTTAGCTTAACGGGTAGCTAACGGGTTCACCCGTTTTCAACCCAACTCATTAAGCTCAACCCAAATACTGATAATTTCGTGCGAATTCGTGTTGTGTTAACGGGTCGTGTACAATATTGCTAGGTCTAATCTATGCTCCATCATCGAAATCCTTTTTTGCTTTGAAAAGAGAATTCTCAGATCCTGCTATCTCATTGCACCTCGATTTTTCTGCTTTGTAGCATTAAGATTTAAGTTGGGAGGAGTTAATCCAACAAGCTAAGAAATAGGAAGTCAAGGCCCTGCTCCAAGTCAAGACGTGAGCAAAACCCATATAGCAAACGAAGAAGCTGGTACTCGGCCATTGTGAAGAAGTTGCTCTAGTTTGATTTTTTGGTTTGAGTTAGGCCCTTTTTTTTTTTTTTTTTTTTTTTTTTTTTTTTTTTTTTTTTTGGTGGGAACATATTGGAGAAGGCATGGAAGAGACGGAGAGGATGAAGGAAAGCGTACGTCTTTTTTTCCTTGGGACAAGCGTACAATGCGTGTGTGATGGGTTGGTTTTTTTCTTTTTACTATTTTATTTATAGTACAATATTGGGGATTAGGGTACAATTCTATCCAAACAGTATTCTAATACCATGAAGGGTATTTTAGTCTATGCAGAAGTATTGTTATATCTGGTTTTTGGTTCTTTTGGAAATTTGGAGTTATGTGAAACTAATTTGAAATATAAGGGGGTGTTCGTATAAATTTTAGGACCTCAAGGAGTTATGTGAAACACGAAAAACCTCAAGAGGTGTTAGGATAAAGAAATCCCCAAATTTTCACATATCCTTTAAATTCTATTGTACTTTGACCATATGACGGTGACAAAAATTTTGAAGTTTAGGCTACAGTACGGCTCATGAAATGAGCGCATATGCGCAAACTGACCTCTAATCGAACTTGAGGCTCAACTTCAATGATCCAAATTGTCTATTTGTTAGAATCTCAGAACAAATCATCTTAACCAAAAAATAATCAATGAAATTGTAAATTATCTAA